TTTACATAAGCTGATTCAACATGATCTTAAAGCATTCTATGACTTTTTGTAAAGAAATAATTTTGAATTAAAGATCAAATATAAATGACTTGATCAAATAATTTAAACTTTAGAAAAATGTCTCAACACTTTTTAAGTATCGTTACCCACTATTTATATCTATTGTGCACGTCTTATGTATCTGATAAAATACTGAATTTAAGCTATATGTGAATAATCATGTTGAAACTAAAACTGATTAATAAATATATAAAGTAATTCCATTTAACAAAAAAGAATGACTCTTTCAAGATGCACCTTTCTATCACTATCATTTAATAAATAATTCCCTCGTTCCATTTTTACAAAATGTTTCCATATAGAGCGCCAATTTAGGGGTTTACATATTCAGAACTTGTTTGGGAGGTATTAAAATCGGATTAAAATTGAAAAACTAGTCGTTATTGTTGACTTTTGTTAGACGGGTGAGACCCAATAACGACTATATTTTCAATTTTAATTGGATTAAAATCCATTCCAAACAAGCTCTCAATTGAACTGTCAATTACTTTAAATAATAGTATATATATTTTTTTATTAATTGAAATGCTAATACTTTGTTTAAAATTAAATATATTTCAATACTATATAGCTAATGTAATTCCCACTATAAAAAGTTAATTAAAATTGTTGCAGATATATTTTAGTTTTTTTCCGAATTATTTTCTTTTTAAAATAATATTAGTTTAAAATCATAAAAATGAGTACTATGACTTTAAAAATAAGTAATCTTGTCTCAATTTGTTTTGAATTTCAACAAAGTTGCATCGTCCTGAATCTAAACCCGAGTAATTAGTAAAAATTTACACGACATTCAATATTAATTAGCTTCACAAGTCAAAGAAAAAGAAATAACAAAATATATTAATTGTATTTGTCCCCCTTTTATTTGATTTCAAGATTTAAACTATATTGATTTTTTTGTAAAATTTGCAAAACCCTTGTCTAGAAGTGATAAGAAGCACGTTAAATTTTGGGGAAAAACCATATGTACAAATTTTTTTTTTTATTTTTACAGATGCGTTATGCCCACTCACATGTGTGGGGCTCACTGGAATAAAAAATGAAAAAAAAAAAAAAAAAACCACCCACCACAGCATTGTGTGTATCCGCTGGTGTTCCGTAGAACCATGCTTCTGTACATGAAGCATGGTTCTAAATTTTTGAGCATAGAACAAATATTTTCTTGAAATGGCAACAAATAATATATAAGCAGCTTCCATATACAGAAATGAAGCTTATGAAATTTTGGACTTGTGTTGGAGAATAAGCTCTCTTATGCGTACAACTGTTACTGCCTTGCCTTGAAAGGAAAAACGTAAAAGAAGGTGTGTACCTAATATCGCATTTGCAAAAGATTATTCACAGTGACCGTCACAGAATTTGTCCGCTGCAAATCCTGCAGATTACATTAAATCGGGATTATCGCATTTGCAAAAGATTATGGCATTTTTCATTCAAGACAATGCAAATCTAATCAATTAGATCAATATATGTCCATAACAGATTTTGAGATGCATGTTCAGTTCAACTATCTCTGTTCCTTCCGTTTCAGAGTTTTGAGGTTCTCATCAATTCTCCTTCATTACCGGTTTATTTAACTATTTCCTTTAGATGAGAATTCACAGCGATAATCATGATGATGACAGATGTTTTGATCCACAAGACAAACAGCTTAATTTTAGTGGATACAAGAAATGAAGATTCCATTTAAAAACCATCCTTCACCTCTAAAAATTGATATGGAAGCATACCTGAAAGATTATGTCATCAGGGATGTGGGGTAGTACTTCCCGAACTGTTTCAGCCATGGCAAGTATACTTACTAAGTTGTCGTTTGAAGATTGTGATGTTGGCCTAACACGCAAACCACTAGAACCTCTTGGGTACATGACAGAACCAGGAGAGTGAGCAGATCTGGATGTACCTGCCTGAGAGGCATTCGTAGGGAACAGACTCCATGAAGCGTCTTCAAGGGAAGTCTGGGTGGCTGCAAGTTGCCTCATCACCATTTGAACTCGACCCAATCCAGACGGGCCAGCTCCATCTGAATCCAACCAACTGGAATCTCCTGTTCTCCTGTTTGGAAAATAACAAA